GCCAGTGTTTTTGCTGGCACTGCTAGGGAATGCGGATCCAGGATTGACACTTCTAATAAGGAAAGCCACTTTCGTTATCTCTGTGAACTCAGGTCAGTGGTACAGACAATTCCAAAAAGTGAGCATGAAAACCATTTTGCTTTTGCTCCCTAATGCCCTTTAAATATTTATTTGAATATGGTTGGTTCTGTCAACCTGGAATTTCATAATTTAAATGAAAATAATGAAGCCACAGCCTGAAAATTCTCCAGTTTTCCTTCTCTGCCACATTCCTGTTTTCCTGTAAGCTATAGAAAACATCACCTTTCAACACGATTTGATTTCAGCTGCCTTCTCTGTAAATTTATTACATGTCCTTTGACTTCTTCGGTAGAGGTGGGGTTGGCAAACATTTTGGTTTGAAAGACCTTTTCTTGGTAACTGAACCTAAATGGACATCAGGAGCCTCAGAATCCCTAGAGTGCGTGCAGAACGAAGATAAAGCGGAGGAGCGGAGGGGAGTGTTTGGGAACATATGAAGATAATGCAGTGTTGGACAGCAAAGAATTATCTGAATTTACAAGTGCAAATTTCTAGGAGAGTAAGAATTACTGTCATTTTGGCCAGATTAAACTTTCCAGAGTTTTAGAAAATCTTTTTTTTTTTTTTCTTTTTTTAAACCATCTGTAGTTTCCACGTAATCTTTCCTTTTGACTGCCACTGGCATGGATTTGATCATCTTTTTTTCTTTGCTGAATGTGCCCTGGACAGAGTGGTGTTCTCTAGTCTTTGCTGGTTTGGGTGGGTTTACTGACGAAGCTGGGCACTCGAAGCCCATCCAGAGCCCTAAAGTCCGAATGAGGGCCAGGAGAGCTTGTTGCGGTCCAATTAGAGGACGGCCTGAGAGGGTAGGCTTTGCCTTTGCTGATCCTGTTGATTGCCTCCCATGCGGATTAAAGACAAACCTTCTTTAACAAGCACATTGAGTAGCTTGGGTTTCTAAAACTCTCTAGGACCAGTAATTAATCCAACTGGTAATGAGAGCATAGTGTTGAATTCTGGAAAGGAATCATTTAACTCTTTCTTTACCGGACAGCTCGTGTCCCTAATTGATAGTCCCTTTAGCCTTAGCATTGTTTACTTGGGTCAGTATAAAGATAGTCTGGTAGAAAATTGCCTTTTTCAGTCAAGTCAGATTATCTCTTTGCATTTTTAATGTCCTTCATCCCCAAAGTGTACAGACTTGAGAAGTGAAATTTTATATTAGAAGGTGCTTTTTTACCTCTTGTTTCAATAGAGGAGAAGTTTTGTACAGTTGATAATTAGTACTTTAAAAAGCTAAGAACTGCCTCTGAATAGGAACTTGTGCACCAGCAGTTAATTTTACTCTGATTCTGTTTCTCATTTTAATGGGATTTTTGCCTGTGGACATAGCCTTCTGTTTGTGTTCTTCTGCCTGCCGTTCATATCAGCCTCTACTCTCTCCTCCCTGTAAGTTTGAAACATTTCCCATCCAGAGATTTCTAGCACACAAAACATCTTTGAGAAGTTGCCTGCTTCTCTCTTTTCTCTAATTATGGCTACACTTGATCCCATTTTCCGATGATTTCCATTAGTAATCTGCTTGTACACATTTTTTAATGCTCAAAGATAGAGCAGAACAAATCACCTAAAGTACCTATACCTGGGGTCGGTTGGCAATAGCTTGCTTCCTCAAGGCAAAGAATGGGCTTGGATGGTCACTTTGCTCCTTCTTGAATCTAGCATTCTTTATTTCTCATCAGCAGGCATGTTTACACAGACACATATCAACTTATTCTTAGGCCCTCTTCTGCCTTTTTCCACTAAACCTGCCTTGAAAAACTAAGGGTAGAGGTCTTTGTGCATATCACAGTGGGTTTAGAAACCATTTTCAGAAAGCTGGTTATTTCTTTGAATTTAAAAGATGGCTGATCACTGAAGTTATAATAATAATGAAACTAAAACGGCCATTATTTCAAAGCCACTATGTATTATTGGCTATCTTTGATCCTCTCACTTGACCTTGTATATTTGCCATTATCATTATTCTTTTGCAATTGACAAAATTAAGATTCTGAGAGAGTTGAGGTTCACAGTTAACTCTTTGAGTCTAGAGCTCATGTTCTTACTGATATATGCAAAAAGCTGACTCAAAAAGTAGTCAAGATATATTTCACAAAGGGTGCGGAGCATTAAGGAATGAGCAGCGGCACTGGAATAGGAGCACATGAAAGAACTCCAGTGAGAGGAACGTAGCAAAAGGCATAGAAGCAGGAATGAGCTCAGCTGTTCATAAGCTAGTGCAGACACTTGCCTAGTGAGGTCCATGGCTTCCTGATGGGAATTAGTGGGCACCAGAGATAGTGGGAGGCCAAAGTGTGTGGGGCCAAAAGTGCTGGCTAGAGGAGTCAAGTTTGGTGGTTAATAGGGAAAGGCCATTTGAAGGGTTTTGAGCACTGGAGCTATGTAACATTTAGGGAACCTACCTGTCAAGGGTATGTGTGATGAGGAAGAGAGAGGGATGTCCCAAGACAGCCAAATAGAAGGGTACACGAGCCTTGGGCTGTGGAGGTGGGCTGGGGAAGAATGGATGAGTATCACAGACATTTCATAGAAGAAAGGATGGAACTTGCAATGAGTGGCTAGATGGGTGTTGAAGGGAAAATGTAAAGCTGTAATTGTGAGCTTGGGTGCCTGGGGGAGGCGGGTGGGGTTCTACTGGCAAAGACAAAGACATTGAGAAGACAGGTAGTTGGAGAGAGAGAGAATGGAGGGTTTAAGTGAATAGGCTGGTGCTGTGCCCATACTTCAAGTGACCAATGAGTTCTTGAAACCCAGTGAGAAGCCTGGGGTGAAGAGAGAGCCAGAGCAGGACTGAGAGGCTGAAAAGGTGTCCACAGCCGGGTGCCAGGGGGAGCCAGAACTGAGGGGCGCGGGAAACTGTTGGTGCAAACGGCCAGGGGACTGGAAACTGAGAAAATCATCCGAACTGGAGAATATATGGGTTCCAACTAGGAGTTGAGCGGACTATTGCCAGCCAAGTGTTTTCAACAGGAAGTCTTCCTGGACACCTTAGTCTTTTGTTATTTAGAGATGTTTAGCCTTCTTGTTTCATTATGTCCAGGCTCTGCTTAGTATGGATATAAAGAACTCTCCTTTTGGAGACTGTTAATAGAATTAAAAGATAGGGGAGACTTAAAAAAGTCTGTGGTATCAGTTAATTTTGTTTTTGCGTCTGAGAAAATCATTGTTTTTTAATATGAAGAAATGTAAATATTGTATGTCAGGATTAAGCCTTTTCCTTCTCTATGTAAGATTAGAAAAAGACACGCTCCCAGGAAGCCAGGATAAAGGGAAAAATGACTTTGAGATGCACTTTCTTAAAATAACTGAAGGAGTGACCTCATGAGCCAGCTGATAGCCTGCGTTTGCAAATGGATACATTTCTATTAGCCTGCTGCTTGATGCTGCAGAGCCAAATATATATGGAGTGTATTATATCATATCCTGTAGGCAGGATACTATCTGAGAGAGGGGAGACTTAGAAAGAGAGGTGAAATGGCAGGCTTGGCACAAGAATTAGCAATGTAAACACTGTCAACCATAGCTTTCTTTATTAGGTAAACATTGCTGATTTGGATTCATGATTCCTTATTATGTGGTAATTTGTATCATTTTCTGGTAAAATAATATTTAAATAAGGACAATTGACCTTTAAATAGTCTCTTCAATATAAAAGTGTTGCTGTACTCAGCTCTCATTAATACTTTAATATTCCTATTTCTGGTTTTTTCTTTTTCTATTTTACAACTACAAGCTCACGTCCTTGGGTCTGACTCATTGCTGAAGCTGTCCTCTCCTTTTGGTCTTAAGTTGTAACGACTGTGTGGACGTGCACTCAGCTGGACAGCATGGCTTGTCTCGAGTGCTGCAGACGTCCAGGTTATAAGGGAAGCAGAAGGTCTGGGGAGGAAGATCCATTACTTGATAAACTGTTTCTCTTGCCAGAAATCGTTGTTGGCAATTAAAGCATTCACAAAATAGTTACTGTGCCAGAAGCTAAAGAATGGCAGTTGCCTCTGGTTTACCACCTGTTTGGTCTGGCTTCAGTTTGTAAAATAAACCTGAATGAAGTCCATAATGTTTTTAAGGCACATGTACCTCACTGTCTGTGTCACACGCATAGACATTGGCTAGCTTACTCGAAACTTCCCAGAATTTTAGGGCCCTTTTTATTAAGTAAAGCCTAATTATTTTCATACATTTTATAAACACCAACCTTACTGAATTTTTTTTTTAAATCCTCACTCAAGGACATGTTTCCATTAATTTTTGGAGAGAGAGAGAAACATCAGTAGGTTGTCTTCTATATGCATCCCGGGCAGGGACCAAACCCACAACCTAGGCACGTGCCTTCTCCGGGAATCAAACCGGCAAACTTTTGGTGCATGGAACAACACTCCAACCAGCTGAGCCATGTGGCCATGCCTGAATTCTCTTATTTTTATAGTAGTCTTTCAGCTGACTCTCTGATGGGTTTTCCAGATACACAGTAATTTTATCTACAAATGATGATTTGCCTGCTCCAGACCTCCTGTTGCTCTCTTATCTAATTGCCCTGGTTACTACCTCCAGAATAGTGTTGAAAACACAGTGACTTTGACACCTTGAATGCGTGAAAGCTGTAGAAGGGAAATGAGCTACAGGATCAGTAGTATCTTAGGAGGCAGAAAGCAAACTTGGAGGCAAGTATTCTTGATCTTATAGGAACAAGTCTATGAGGTACAGCTTAAGGTCTATTTACCAACGTGTATAATTCTCACTCAGTTGCTTGTGGAGCTCTAGTAATGTGTGGAAAACAATGGGCTCATCAGTTATTTTGGAACTCTCTGGGCCCTCCAGGAAGGCTCTCTGTGTGATAACAATAGAATTTGGTGAAAGACCCAGACACATCCCAGATACCTTTCATGACTATTGCTGACCACACCCTTGTCTTCCAGGCCCAGCTTCGAGCATTTATTCCAGAGATGCTCAAGTACTCCACAGGTCGGGGAAAACCAGGCTGGGGCAAAGAAAGCTGCAAGCCCATCTGGTGGCCTGAAGATATCCCATGGGCAAATGTCCGAAGCGATGTCCGCACAGAAGAGCAAAAGCAGAGGGTAAGTGTTCCTCTGGCCTGAGTTGCCTGTTGCTTTTCCATTCTGAATCAACTCCTTTGATTTTTGTCTTTCCACTTCTTATGCTAAGAGGTCTAGAAACATTTGTGTAAGAGTTAAACCTATCCCCCAAAGGAAGTTTGATATTCTCTGATTTATAGCCTTTTCCATTCATCACTCCATCACTGTAAAGACTTGGGATGAGTCTGTGAATTTACACTTCTCTCTGCATAGTTTCCTTTTGGAGCAGTTTTAATGTTATGAGGTGCTTGGAAAAACTGAAGAAACTCATAGTCAAATTAGTAATCACTTTGAAAACTTAGGAATGTCTTTATTTCTGGTTAAGAAGAATCACTGTTGAGAAATATAAATATGGAATTAGATGTAAAGTTGGCCAAATCGGCAGATAGAAGAGAAGAAAGACTGCACTAGATGCCATCCCTTTTTCTGAGTATTTGTTTTCAGTTAGCTTGGAAATTTATTGAGAATTTAATTTAAAAATCTTGAGAAAAGAGTAACCTTTAGTAAGAAGTTAAGAGTTGGTCTTAGACCCTGGCTGGATAGCTCAGTTGGTTAGAGCATCGTCCTGATACACCAGGGTTGCGGGTTCAGTGCCCAATTGGGACACATACAAGAGTCAACCAATGAACGCATGGATGCGTGGAGCAGCAAACTGATATTTCTTTCTCTAAAATCAGTAAATTTAAAAGTATTAATAAGAGTTGGCCTCAGGTTAGAATAAAGTATATAAAATCCAAAAGAGGGAAATTATGGGTATTGGGTTAGCCAAAAAGTTTGTTTGGTTTTTTTCTGTGAGATGGTTCTAGTAGCACTTGGCTATGTTTAACTTCATTTGAAACAATTTCATTAGATTACATTGTAACAGCTGTAATATCAGCGTGCATTTAAAAATGAAAACATCAAAATGGGTAAATTTTTGTATAGCTATTTTAACACTGAAGATGGAAGAAAATAAACAACATTTTCCACATATTATGCTTTTATTATTTCAAGAAAGGTAAAAACAAAGCTGAAATGCCAAAAAAAAAAAAAAAGATTTGTGCAGCATATGGAGAAGGTGTGGTGACTGATCGAATGTGTCAAGAGTGGTTCGTGAAGCTTCCTGCTTGAGATTTCTCGCTTGATGATGCTCCCCAGTCGGGGAGACCAGGTGAAGTTGATAGCAATCAAGCAGAGACATTAATTGAGAACAGTCAGCGTTATACCAATCAGAAGATAGCTGACATACTCAAAAATATCCAAATCAATAAAGTTATTGGTGGAAATGAAAAATGTGTTTTTTATTTTACAGAAGAAAACTAAGCAGACTTTTTAGCCAACCCAATATTTGGAACTAAGTTTCTTTGTGCCAGAATCAGTCTTTCTGAAATAATCCTAAGAGAGTTTACTCTGTATGGGGTTTGGTTTGTTTTGATAAAAGATCAGCTGCTTATCCATTGTAGAACTGAATAACCAACATTCTTTGTGACTGAAGTGCTTTTTCTGGTCTTTTGGTAACAGGTTTCATGGACCCAAGCGCTACGGACCATAGTTAAAAACTGTTACAAACAGCATGGGCGGGAGGACCTTTTGTACGCTTTTGAGGATCAGCAAACGCAAACACAGGCCACAACCACACACAGTATAGCCCATCTGGTACCATCGCAGACCGTAGTCCAGACTTTTAGTAACCCTGACGGCACTGTCTCACTCATCCAGGTGAGTAGACCTTGTGGTTCCCAGATTGTGGCTTCTGAGGAAGATGGCTGGGCACCTCACCGCAGAGTGGAGAAAGTTTTCTTTATGCAAACTCTGGTATGGACTTTACATAGTTCCCCGATATCTTCCTACCTAAAATTGATTTTTAAGTAACATTTTAATTGTTTTTTAAGTATTGCTACAATATTGCCAAATACAGAGCTAGTGAAAGCTTTTCTGGACATTTCCAAAATAACACTATAAAAATGTCTTTAAAAAATAAAAAAATACGTGCCACTTTGCCAACAACCAGGATATATTCCTTTGGAATTAGCTCTTCTAAGGTAAAACGAGATTTGTTAGTAGATAGGGAACCTCTAAAATTAAAATTGAGGTAAGAAGAAAGAGTTGGTTGGCTGACATTGGGCACTGGTGGTGAAATGTGATAGCTCCTAATACTCATGCAGCTGCTTGAAGTAAAACGGAAACTCATGAGCCTGAGATACGATTTTACAGCTCATTTCACATTACAAAGCATATTAATTGTGATCTGTGCTGAATTTGGGTTTAAATGAATCTTAACTTCCGAGTAAAGGAGAAATAGAAGGGTTCACCCACTGATACTGCATCGCTTTCCATCTATTTCTTCAGGTTGGTACAGGGGCAACGGTAGCCACATTGGCTGATGCTTCAGAATTGCCAACCACAGTCACTGTTGCCCAAGTGAATTACTCTGCTGTGGCAGATGGAGAGGTAAGAAAGAGGATTCTGTCTGCATCTGCCTAAGTGCTTGAGTGTGTAGATGAGGGGGAAGTGAGGGTTTAGAGGTGAAGAGACTGTAAGTAGCCTACATGTTGTAGTATTATTTTATTTATACCTTTTACAAAGTATATTTTATGCTGTTTATTAACTGTAACAGCTGAAATTCATGGATCTTTATGATTTAGACCTGTTAGGCATTTACAGTTTTACATTTGCAGTATATCATTTTGTATAATATACTATAAGAAGGCATTATCCATTTAATATTTTATGTTGTAAATGCCAAAGAATTTAATCTTGGGGCTTTATGAAAAAAATTGGACTATTAAAAGTAGAGCTGACTAAAAAGCATTCTTTGAAGGGATAAATATATTTGTAAATCAGTAGACATGATATATTACATTTTAAACATGCATTTGAAAAGGCTTCACAAGAAAACCCTTCCCTACCAAAATCGAGATAATTGTGGGATGTTAACCTTTACGGAGTACTTGGTAAACTAAGTCCTCAGCCCTGTGAAGCACAGGCTCTCTTATCATCTTTACTTTATAGATGAGAAAACTGAGACATGTAGAGTTTAGGAGACTTGCCCAGAGTCCCAGAGGGCTAAAACTGCGTAATGCATTGTCCAGGGTATGAGCTCTGAGCCATCAGTGACGTTTAGGACAGGGTTCATTAAGTCACTGAGGGCTTTTTCCCTAGAGCGCGATATATTCCTGCAGTTTAAAAAATAGCCAACAAATGTCAAAGAGAAGTATCAGAAATAAAGCTAAAATTATCTCACCCTTGTTCAAAGCCTTGGAGCACTTGTACTCAGAACAGCACAAAGTCAGTTTCATTTGTGCATCTCAGGAAAGGGAGAGGACTGATAAAGGTCTGGTAGGTAGCGAGATGAAGAGACACAGCCCACCTCCTCAGTCAGCCAGCATTTATTGAGCCCCCGCTGTGATGCAGCTGATGAGTTGTTTTGCGCAGGAACACTGCTTTAAAGGAGCTTCTCTCTGGTGGGGGTGAGAAATGTCTCCTTAAATGGACTACAGTCCAGGCTGTAAGCGATGCTACGAAGTGGTCTGTGCCTTCAGGAGAGAATGTCAACAGCTAGGGAATCTGGGAAGCTGTGGGGCAGGAGCCAGCTTTGGTTTTTCAGTGTAGAAGGGGAAAGGACAACACGATATCTACTTCCATAAATTTGTAAACATTATTAAAGAGTTTGGATTAGCTAAAGGGGAAAGTCATCAGTTCCCAAACACTAAAACTAGAAGATACTCCTTGAAGTGTGAAAGGGGCAGAGGATGACAGCAAAGGGAGAGATTGAGCAAAAGGGAAAAAGGACTCATGGACAGAGCAGCGTGGGCATTGTGAGGGGTGGGGGATAAGGGGACGAAATGGCAGCGGGGAAAAAATTCAGTTTAAATAAAATGTAAAAAAGAGGTAGAGAAGACTGTGAATATATTTACAAGATTGGTTACTTTTTGACTTGGTCAGAGTTATCAACTGTATCTCCCTCCTGAATGCTTCCTGGTACTATATAAAGAAAGTAACTGTGTTTCTTACATGCTTCTCTAGAGTCTAATTTTTTAGAACCCATTTTACTAAATGACTTCACATATTCAAAGGTAGTTAATGTATTCAAAAGTCATGGAAAATATGATACTCGAAGTCAGATAAAAAAATTCTAACTCTTCTCACATTTCCATCAAAACGAAAGAGATATGAAGAGAAACATAGATTATCTCAGAAAGTGACAAAACAATTTAGATTTTATAGTACAATTCTATGTGCCTCTGACTTCTCTTAGATGTTGACATGTTTGTTAGCATTTTAGTTTTGAGCCATAAGAACCGTAATTAGTCAAAATATCTCTCTGACTTGAGGCAGATAAGACCACACCAAGCCAATGAAACATTACATCAGGCGACTCAGTCTGCTGCCTTGTGTTTAGCATCTTTACTGCCAAAAAAACTAAAGTACTTTCCAGAAATAAATGATATCCATACTTTTAGAAGTTGCAAGGTCATTTTGTTATCACAACTTGCCAGCAAGAGCTCTTGCCATTAGAGCACTCTGCCTTTAATATCTGGTTAGTTACATTTGAGTACATTTAGCCCAAACGCAAGGATTATTTGGTGGCCTGTCTCTTCTGGTAATATATGATCTCCCAAATCCAAACAAAAACCTCAAACTTGAGGCAGCTTAAAACTAATTAAGGACACAGAACAAGGTACATAGACCTTTTGAAATGAACAAAAAAATTTTTTTTCAAAATAATATGAAATAAACTATGTTGATTTCAAAATATTTATACAATATTAATTTTGATGGTATGGTTTTGAAAATTTATTCTGTTGTATAAGACATATTGGTGTTATTAATTGCATTAAGTCTCAGAAAATTCTGTTAGAAGGAAAGACCAAAGTACAAAAACATTAGACATGAATTTTAAACTGAACCATCAACACGTGTAACAGTTTTGAAGTAGCACAACTTATTTTAGGTGGGCTTTCAATGAATATCAATTTACCTAAAATTTGGGTAGGCCAAAACACAAGTAGAAAAATATTAATAAAGGAGTATGTTCTTCATCTATCCATTCAGCACACCCTTTCTTTGCCAAGCACTATAGATACAGAAAAATAAAGACTGCTCCTGCCCTTAAGGAGCACACATGTAGGTGGTGGAGAAAAACACAGCACAGGACAGTGGCAAGGAGATAAGGATCCTAATAGAAGCAAGCCCAGGGTGCTCTGGAACAGAGAAGAGAGGCTCTGAACCTTGGACTGTGGGGGAGTGCAGTGGTCTTGGCCCCTACAGTCTCACCTGAGTTCAGACACTAGAAGGTGGACGGGAAGAAAGGCCGGAAGGCTGAGAGTTGTATTCCTATCAAAGGGAGCGGCGCATGCCATGCCCCGCATTGTCAAAGTGTGGCAGAGCCACACGCCGCGGTTTGCCATAGCTAGAGGGGGGATAAGAGTAGCCACAGTTTAAAGGGCCTCACTGTAGTGGGTCTCTTTCAGAAAAGCATAGACGCTAACTATTCATCTTCTGAATATCTTTTCCTCCTAGGGCTTGTGGCCCTTTCTCTGGGACATGGTGACATCCAGGAGTAGATAACCGCACAGATGGAAAGGGAGAGCAACAAGAGCTCAAGCAAATACAACTAAAGCACTGAGACTCAAAAATAGGAATTCCAAAGAAGTGTTAATACCTCAGATGATTTATCACCTGCCATTTTTTTTTAACATAAATCTCTTTGCTTCTTTTCCTACTTCCTCTCTTTTACCAGCATCCATTAATCTTTCATGGCTATAATTTAACTTCCTTAAAGTATACTGTATATAGAAACATTTTAATACCATTTTCACTACAGATATAGTTGTAACTAAATGTCTATATATTAGTCCCTGGCTGGGTAGCTCAGTTGGTTAGAGCATTGTCCCGATATGCCAAGACTGCGGGTTTGCTCCCTGGTCAGGGCACATACAAGAAGCAACCAGTGAATGCATAAATAAGTGGAACAACAAATAGATGTTTCTCTTTCTCTCTTGCGCGCGCGCTCTCTCTAAAATCAATAAATTTTTTTTAAAAATTATGTCTATATATTAAGTTGCTGCCATTGGAGTATAAAGTACATGGGAGAGCTGCACCAGTCCAGCTCAGCAGTGGGATGGGCAAAAAAAATATAGCGGGTCAGATCTAAACAGTCTAGGAAGACTGTTTAACGGCCAGAGGTGACAGAACTGGCCAGCTTTCACCGACGTTTTGAGTGGAATCACTGAGCGTCTACATATTGGCAATGCAACTTGCCATGTAAAGTGGCATTGTTTGAGTTCCTGAGTGGGTAACTCTGCAGCTCCAAGGGAAGGAAATAGGAGGTCTCTGTCCCGTAGCGATGGGCCCTGAAGGCTTGCTGACGCAATCCATTGCCTGTGAGAGTCCAGGGCAACTACTAAGGTGGCTCAAAGGAATCTCATTCTCTGGGAGGCTTTGGACAAGCATTCTGAGAGGCAGTGTCATAATCTAAGTGTGGCAATAGAACCAAAGCAGGAGGCATTTCAAGAACCTACCTCTCCTAGAGCTTGTGGAACTTTCTTTGGGACACAATAACACGTGGACACGAGTTAACCATTTACTGGGCCCCAGAGATGGGAAGCAGGGACAGCAGGAGTTCCAGGAAGCACAGCTAATGTCCCGAGGACGCGAGTCCGCAGGAATCTTACCTGAGCTGATTATCACCTCCTGTATTTTGGAATAGAAGTGTCTTTCCCTGCCCGGCTGCTTTTTGTCTTTGAGGAAGAATAATCAACCAGTGATTACTGAGCAAAATGGACTGAAATAGTTGGACTTGGATGTCCAGAACTGAGAAGTCTCTAAATGCAAAACACTGTACTGAAATCACTGGTCCTCCTCCAGGAGCACCCCCACACACCCCTCAGAGAGGATATCTGTCAGTGTCTGAAGATATTTCTGATTGTCTTGACTGGGGAGGGTGCTTTTAGCATCTAGCAGGTGGAAGCTGGGGATGCTGCTGAACATCTGCAATGCATAGCACGGCCTCCTACCACAAAGAATTGTCTGGTCCAAATGTTAACAGCGCACTGTTGAGAAACCCTGTGCTAGATCTAGCAAAGCTAAATTCTAATCTTATCACAAGATAGTGTGTTGTTTTGTTTCTTCATAATTCTGGCTCCTCACTAAAAGGGAAGCAGGTTTTGCTACATTAAATTATTTACTGAATTTGGCAGTTTCTGTCAAAAATAAAAGTATAGAATCACTTTGATATATAATTCCACCTCTAGGAATTTACTCTGTAAATAGATCCACATAAAACAATCAAAGTAGTATTTGAGGCTCTTCATCACAGTACTGTTTATAACAGCAAAAGACTGGAAACTACCTCGATGCTAATTAAAAGATGGCCAGTTAAATAAATCGTGGTGTATCTATATAATACAGTGCTGTGCAGCCGTTATTATGAATCATGAATGAATGAAGTAGTTTTATATGTTCCAAAATGGAATCATTTAAAAGATGTACTATTTGTGAGAAAAGCAAGGTACAAAAGGGTATGTAGAATATACTGCCATTTTTCCTTTTTAAAACAAAGGAGTAGAAAGGAGGAAGTAGGAGTATGTGTATGTAAACATCCTTGCATGTAAAGAGAAAAATAGGTAACAGTAGTGGTCTTTGGGCAAAGGGTCTAGAGTACTGGCATAATATTCCCTTCAGCATAGTTTGAATTTTTTTAAAAATTACATTTACGGTCTAAATTAAAATTTTTGAATAGGTAACAAATGGATAAGGCTCAGCTTTTTCAAAAATTACTTAAAGGTATACAGTGGAAAATCTTGCTTTCTGTCTCCTATTTAAGCTACTCCCACAGCCCCATTGCACCCCACTCCACCTCAACTCACAAACTAAGGAAAATATCTTCAGTGGTTTCTTCCAGAATTTCTTTATGCACACATAAGCAAGTTCAAACATACATTCTAATTCCCCCCTTCACACAAAAGATAGTATACTAAATCCCTGTTTTCTGCATTGTAGGCCATGTTCATTTAAAAGTATATGTGTATTTGGCTGAGGGCACATAGCACTTTATTAGAAAAATGACTTAAAAATCATTATGTTTTTTTGACTTTGAGTCCTCTCTTATCCTGTCCTCTCTGCTTCAGGTGGAACAAAACTGGGCCACGTTACAAGGAGGTGAGATGACCATCCAGACGACGCAAGCATCCGAGGCCACCCAGGCGGTGGCGTCACTGGCAGAGGCCGCAGTGGCAGCTTCTCAGGAGATGCAACAGGGAGCTACAGTCACCATGGCACTCAACAGGTGGAGACAGGGGTGGGGACAATAAGTGAGGAAGGCGAATCTGTCTCTCCATACCTGCTGTAGAGAAATATTGTACCTGTTTGTCACAATGGCGGTTGGAGTTTAATACTCTTAGCACTTAGGGTATTGTAAGTTGACTTCTCATTGGCCCTCACCCACGCCACTCCCACCCCACCCCGCCATGCCCCAGCAACCAATCCAGCTTTTCTGACTTCCAGCTCAAGTCTGCTGGTCCAGGGACACCGGTCCCATCTGCTTTATCCCCCTTTGTGCGTACTAATAGACCAGAAGCAGCAAGGTTTGAGTACTTTGTTTTTCCAAAGGGACTAAAGGGTATAATTAATAAGAAATCAAGAAGCTTCAGGATTGATTTTCCTTTTACCCAATGAAAGAGACTGGTTTTTGTTAGGGGTTTTAACCCATGTTTTAGCTAGTTGAGAGCTGATTTTACTGATTTTCCAGGAAATGTGTTTCCCTTGCTTATCATTAACTTAAAATAAGTTTGGATTCTTGGGGAAAATACTTGATTTTTTTCCATCTGGTGTGTTTAAGAAGGGTGCTGCAGAACGAGATGCTCCAGTAAGGGGTAGTTTGCAAAACGAAATTGTCTTATCCCCTGCTTGGTTCCTTCCACTGGTTGGTGACATTACATGTCATTCTTTTTCTTCTTCATTGCTGACACAATTTTATTTGGAATGGACTCAGGCATTTTAACTAACAGTTAAGAGTATGGGTTTTGAAGCCAGGCTACCTGGGTTTGAATCCCAGCTCTGTCACTTACTGGCTGTTTGAGGCTGGGTAGTTGACTTGAATACAGTGCCCAGGCTTTCCTCTTCTGTCAGATGGGGGTAACAGCAGTACCGTCCTCGCAGGGTGTTGTGAGAGCTCAGAGCCAATGCGTGTAAGGCCCCTAGATCAGCTCCTGACTGGCATATGGTAACACTGCCTTTAGCATTGTGTACAGCAGCTATTAGTCTTGGGTAGTCGTTGAACTCTTGTGACATCCCTGCACTCTGCTAGGTCAGGCTGTAGGTGAAGAGTGCTCTCAAATATAATGTCTGCCCTCAATGAAACCGTACTGTTGGGGAGATTGATTTAAGTAAAACACTTAGCGAGCAGTATTACTTGGAGTGTAATTCACTCTTGAATTGTGAATGTCATAGAAATTCAGAGCGGGGGGGTCATCTCCTCCAAGGTGTAAAAATCAGCCAAAGTTCAGATTGGTTGTGATAGAGACTAGAAAGCCTTGATGGGGTTATGTACAGATGTTTTCCACAAGGCTGCCTAGTGTGGTGGCTGAGAGGAAGGTAGGAGGTCCCGTAAGTTTCCATGACGTTCCTTGAGGTACCATGAGGTTCAGGTCTGAATCCCAGCTCTGCCTCTTACTAGCCATTTGGTCTTGAGAACTTCAACTCCTGAGTTTTGTTTTGTCTCATAGGTATAGTAAGAATGACTTTTCATCACATAGAATTAAAAAGATTTGATAAACTGATGTATATAAAACTTGCAACAAAGTATTCAGGCCGTAATTAGCACTTTGGGACTGATTTTGAAGGAAATATGGCCAGGACTCAGTGGCTGATTAGGTACAGAAAACTGAAAAACACATACACCAACCCCCCCCGCCCCAGCCCCAGCCCCAGAGAGAGACAGAGAGACACTCCACCCCGCCTCCCAGAGGCACCCATGGAGTCCCTGAGTGATCTGGAATTGAAACTTTTTTCTTAGTCCACTGAACCAATGTGCTTTTCAGTAACATAAAAGTCTTATTTTATTCCTCACACTTGGTCCAATCCCACTCTTTCCTTGGGGAGAGGACGCACAGATAAACTTCTGAAAGCCATGGCCAGAGTGAGAACCTCACTCTCTTTAACCCAGTAACTCCTCACTGTAGCATGGGGACTAACCAGCCACCAGTAAAGACCAGAAAAACTTGATTTCATTGAGCCAGCGCTTTGCTATTCCAGTGAAGTGTGAGTATCCTGGGAACCCTGTATATTGTGGAAACTATGAGGCACATTCTGGCTCTCTTTAGTGTAAGGACCAGGGCTTATTTCTAAAGACAATGAGGGTAATGGTTTCCCCTGAGGGCTTGTTAACAAACTCAGATGCAGCTGAGGTGGCTGCAGTGTTTACTCTAAAGGAAGGAGAATGTGGTTCGCTGTGGCATGTAGGAGGAGTAAAGAGATGTTGAAATCTGTTTGCAATCAAGTAGTTCAACACCCCAGTGAGTGCTGGGGATGGTGCCTTGCAGCCTTTGCTGCAGGCGAAGAAACTGAGCTTGGCAGTGAAGAGGAGACGATAGCAGGCTGTTAGGGGAACACCAGGGGTTTCTGGTTCTAAGAGAGGTAACCTCCTGCCTAATGACAGGAGGACTGAACTTAAGACGCAAGCCTTGGTGTTTGCTTCTGTGTGGGATGAGAAGAATTCCCAGCCTCCACAGATTTTGTTGCTGGAAGTCACCTTACTGAAAAATACGCTAAGAAATGTGGTCTTTGTTCCTGTAGTAACAAAGCAATTTCATAGAGCTGCTCCCTTCCAACCTGTGTTTCAGGTGCAGATGGGACAAGCATGGTCCTCTAATAATCACCTGCACCTCTGCTGCACTGTAAACAGCAGATGTGGGCGCAGAGTGAGGAGAGAGGCAAGCTGCGTGGAATGGCAGGTGGGGAAAAAGGCAGAAGGGCGCCTCCATCTATTAGCTGTGCGAAGGAGATCAGGACAGATGCAGGACAGACCTGTTTTTCAACCATGATGTTAAAAGAGTTTTGAATAGCAAGTCAGAACAAGGACCCTGGGCTCAGACAGCCTTTAGCCCACCCTGGCATTATAATAAGCCAGAGAGGCTATGGAGAAATTTTTATTAAAATATCTGAAAACTAGTTAGTTTTAATTATTTTCCAAGTAGCCCTGGCCAGTGTGGCTCAGCTGGTTGGAACGTCATCCCATAAACCAAATGATAGTGGGTTCGGTCCCCAGTCACTGCACACACCCCGGTTCCAGGTTTCAGGTTCAGTCCCTGGTCAGGCACATACAAGAAGGCAACCAGCCAGTGTTTCTCTCTCTCCTTTCTCTTCCATTCTCTCTCTCTAAAGGAAATAAAAAGAAATTATTATTATTTTTCAAATACATAATAAATTAGCACTTTTAGGAAGGTAATTGAGAATCAAAGTGAACAAACGAAGAACAGAGCATCACAGCTCAAAAAAAAAAAAAAAAAAGAAGGAAAAGTAGAGCTATTCAGCTTGAACAACCAGAGGAAAGGAAGTAAAATCATTTGGTTGTTGCAACATGGCAATTAATTTTAAGTTTCAGTGCCTCGGGTAAGCTGTCCTAGACTTATATTCCCTCTTGATTAAGTCATTCTGCAGAGTCAGTGCAGTCCCTGCACATAGAGATACACGAGCAGTAGTTGTACAGCTGCCGCCGTGGAAGCGCACAGTGTGTTGCTGACGCGGAGACCGTTTTGACTGTGCCTGCCGTGCACGGCGCCATGGCTCGGTGCTACCGAGAAACAAATGCTTAAACTTCTTCCGCGGGAATTCAGAGCTGCTGCTCTTTAGCTGTGGAGAAGCTTTGCTTAAAAGAGAAGTGAGTCGTATTTTCAAAGAAAAAAAATTACTTTTTTTTTAGATGAAAATACTATTGAAATGAGAGATATTATTAAAATAAAATGTAGCTTTAATACATGGACTGTTATTTATTTGCAGCCTAGATCAGACATCCTCCCTGGACATGGAGGGCAGGGACTGTGCAGCTGCTGCTTTTCCCTGGGGATAAGGTTGGACACTTGCAAATAAAAAGTTGATGAAAAGTTCTTGTTCGTTAACTGGTTGGGAAATGACTTTTGTCAAAAAATTGTGTAGTAGGTTAAAGACGTTTTAATCCCTATTCACCTTTTATGTGAAGGCAATCTTTTCCTAGCACTATAGTTTGATCTTTTTTTATGAAGTATAGACCGCAGGAGACCCCATTGTCTTTATGCTGCAGGTAAAACATCCGTCCATTGCTGCTTTGCCCCTGGCATCCCAGGTTGTTCAGGTGGTTGGCCGCTTGCACCTTTTCTTCTATGCTAACTTTTTATTATTATTATTATTATTATTATTATTATTTGAGAGCACATTTATCAAACCTGGGGAGAGTGAAACAAGGACGGACTTAAGATAGAAGCAGCAACAGGAGGGCCGAGGCAGGGCTGCCGTGGCCTCCTGAGAAGTACAAGTCAGTGACAGAAGTGAGCCACGGCGGGGCCACTGTCAGCTCTCTGAGAAATCAGAGAAAAGGGAGCCCTGGAGACAGCTTCCGGGGCAAGCCTGGGGCTCCCCTGGCTGCAAGTCTTGCCGGGACCCTTAGAGTTTAGGAGAGAAAATAAAGATGCGCCCCTGGGAGGGAGAGCATGCCTACATTAGCATATTTTAGAAAGGTATTAAAGAAAAGGACTTTAAATATTTAGAGCCTCAGGCAAAATAAAATAGGTGTAATTGGCAACAGGTAGACATTCGTGTCAGGTCTCAGGTAGCTACTACCCTCCCCATCATTGCCTGTGAAATTCCACGCTACGAGCACGCGTCCAGGGTGCACAGGAGGGACCGGGCATTGCCTCTGAGGGTCATAAAAATAAGATTATTGTAAAATATAGTTAAAAACTAGGGAATGAGCAGCAGCTAAGATAACCTGTAAACAAAGATCCTATTTCCGTATAAATACTTCTCACATACAGCTTCCTTTTTCAAAGTGCCACAGAGCTGCAGCTTCTTCCAAAGAATATACTTTTCAGCTTTCCATAAAGTCTCAGGCCAGAGTGTTAATACTGTAAAATTGGATGGTAGTAGTATTTGACACAAGTTTTTTAGAAAATATTAAAAATTAAGGACCTAGGTATTAAATAATCATTTTGCTTTTATTTTTTTAATCCTCATCTGAGGACATTTTCCTTTTTATTGCTTTCAGAGAAAGAGGAAGGGGAGAGAGAAACACCGATGTGAGAGAGAGAAACATCAGTTGGTTACCTCCTGTGCGTGCCCTGACTGGGGATCGAACCCACAACCTTTTGGTGTACTGGACGACGCTCTAACCAACTGAGCCACCTGGCCAGGGCATAATATTTCATTTTATTATCGCTGATATTTATGGAGCACTTTGAAATTAAAATCTACCATGTCAAATGTAGAGAATGGTCTTAGTAGTAATTCCAGATCATGGCTCCCCTTTGGCTCTCAATTCATGTTACAGACACTGTGGAATGACTGGCTGGGGGATGTCACATCACCAAGAAATGTGTTTCAGCATAAAGGATTATCTTAGCTTTTACAAGGGCTGCATGTAAACTGTGATTCCGTTCAGCTTTTTGCTCAGCCTCAATTACATCCCTCCCAAAATTTTTTATGAAGGAAATAAATTTGAAATATATAATCATGACCTTGAACTAAGTCAGTGGAAGCCTACAAATTAAAAGTTGCCAAAACTAAATGACTTTAAAAGGGCAAAGTCAGCACTTTTGCTTTTAATTTATTATTTTGAATAAATATCAAAAATATTTACATGGGATCCATACAATGTTTGGTGAAAAAAAAGCAGGCTATAAAACTGTGTGTACAGTATGATTCTGATTACTGTCTGTTTAAAGCTGTGTTTAAGATGAAGGAAAGCCTGGCTGGGTGTCTCAGATGGTTGGAGTGTCACCTGTACAACAAAAGGATGTGGGTTCGATCCCCATTTGGGGCACATGTGGGAGACAAGCGATTGGTATTCCTCACATTGGTGTCTCTCTCTAAACTCTATCTCTATCTCATTAAAATAAATAAAAAAATGTCCTCTGGTGAGAATTTTTTTAAAAATCTCAAGATGAAAAGGAAATACTGTTACTTATCTCTGTGTAGTTTTAATTCTTTTTATACCTAACGAAACTTTTAGAAGTTTTCTACGTGTATTTTATTATTAGAAAAAAGTAACATTTTAAACACAAAGACATAAAAATTTAAAAAGCAAGGCAAGTTAGTAAGAAGGGGAGAATTTTCTTTTTAATGAGACTTTTCCATTCACTGGGTTTCTTTTGCTGTTCCTAGAATCCTTATGGTGACTAAGAAGTCTTCCTTCCCTGGGGCGATGGTGGTTGCTTTACTTGTCTGATGACTATCTTAGACAAAAGTGATATCATTGAGTTTGGTACATGTTGCTTCGCCCTAACCAGTCCAGCCCCCCACGCCACCCCTCACCCATCCCCACCTACAGCTTGTGATTGTGAAATAACTGTCAGAGTTATGGCAAAGTCTGCAGCTTCAGAGCAAAGCTGCATCAACCCGATTATTTGGTGTCAAACCCAAGATTTTGTCCACCTCTGCTCAGCTAAGTGACACCACCAGCTCTTCTGATAGGCCCACTTTTGATACCGTCTCAATAGCTGAGAAGTGTGGCCCCTGATACTTTCCTGGGAGAGGTGCTGAATTTGGTGGGTTTTTTCCTTCACATTATAACATCTCTGAAATTTGGGTGGTAAATTATAATCTTAAAATAGTCAGGAATTTCTCTTTTCTTACTGACACATAAAATAACACATTTTATAATTTGTAGCATCATAAAATCAATAAAAATTGGTAGTTGTGCATAAAGTAAAAGCATATAGTAAAGAAAGAAAAATGGGACATACGCTGCTAGAATAGTGCTCACTAGACACATGGTTAATATCTTTCTGTTCTACAGAGTGTTTGCTTTGCAATGAAGGGAGCTTTGTTATTTTATTGTGTTCTTAGAGTTGAGGAGTTTGGGCTTATAGTGATAATTTTAAATTTTAAGCCTTAATTTAGCACTGCATGCATGTACAGTGAGGCAGAGGGAAGAGAGACTTTGCAGAATGGTAGTCAGCCATTACTTTGTACTTGAAATCATGGATATAAACCAAACAATTACTATTTAATGTTAATTGAATAGCAAATCCAGGTTGCTGACTCCTCATGTTATCATTCATCCTTGGCTATAAGGGGGCAGTTTCAGATGGTCCGCCTTGTGTTACTGTAAAGAGGGAAGAAAGGAAGGAAACCTGTGACTGACAACCGAAGTGGTTTTTGCAGTGAGTGGGGATCAGAGCCCCTTCGTGGCTCACAAAGCCCTCAGTTGACCTTGATAAAGAGAAGGCTTACCATGAGTGCCTTCTGCCCACAAATACCCATTTTCTAGGTTTAAAGAAACTCTCGCAGTACCTTCATAAATAGGTAAGACTTGGGATTTCTCTGGCTCTGACATCATTTGGAAATTCCTCCGGCCCAGTCCAGTAGCTCTGGAATGATGTATTTGCTGGCAGCCTCGCAACCGCGGAGGCAGTGGGGAGGTCCAAGGAGGGGTCATCAGGACGGTTTCTCTTGCTGCAGTGCTACACCTGTATTCACCTTGTACGTCCCCCTCTCTTGTTCCTGTACCCACAGTGAAGCTGCTGCCCATGCTGTCGCCACACTGGCCGAAGCCACCTTGCAAGGGGGGGGACAGATCGTCCTGTCTGGGGAAACCGCAGCAGCCGTTGGAGCACTTACTGGAGTCCAAGATGCTAATGGTGAGAGAGCATAAATATTTTATTGAATTTCTTCCTTGTTTCCACTTAAACCTTCCTGAGTTTTTCTTTAGTGGTAGGCAGTTGATAGTGGTAGGCCTCAGAGAAGTCCAGGAGCCTCAGGTTTCCTTTCACTAGTAGGAGACCTGGGGTTTCCGGGGGCCTGGGGGAGTGCCATGATAATGGCTACCTAACTGAGTCGCTTATTGAAAAGGTGACTGCTGTGACAGGACTGGCTGAGAGCTACTTTAAAATCGGCTCTGGGGCACATTCCGCCCGTACTCTCCCGTGAGCTAGTCAGTGTCCTTCCCTGCACGTAGCAGAGACTCCCGTGGCAGGTACATTGAGGTTGGGTGGCTGTTCTGACTGCCTGGAGAAAGCGCCGCCATCTCCCCACAAGGTCAGCCAGCAGGCTGTGACGGAAGTGCCTTTCTGGTTGGCGCTGTGCATTCTGCTTATTATATGTGGCCTCACCAAAGACCTCTGGATTTAGCCAGCAGCTGCCAGCCTGCTCTTCTTTCCCCGCTCTCTGACTGCCTGGGTGTTGATGATACCCTGAATAAACAAAAGGGATAAAGTTCATAGAAATAGGGTGGCAGAAAGTTACAACTGCAGCCCAGCTCTTCGGACCTACTTCAGCAGGCTCCGGGAGCCGGTTACCAAGGCTTGGGCTGCCTGGGGCAGTGCCTCAGGGTCTGGGTCAAAGCGGAGCACTAGCCCTGCCGTGTGAGAGGATATGTGACTTTTCTTTTGAATTATACATGTAATTAGATTAAGTAGGTCAAATTAAGTACTCTGTGGTACTTTCTTCCAAGTACAGTTGACAGAATATTATATAAGTTTCAGGTGCATTAACAACATAGTGATTAGGCATTTCTACAAGGTGCTCTTTGGTTTTGGAGACTTGAGTTTAAAGTCCTGGAAAGGGGATAGATAATAACATACATTTATTGAGGCAGAAAGTCCCTTAATGGCATTAGTGGCTGAAAAAAAGTCCCTGGCTCTTTCTTTAGGGTAGCCCCTAAGAATCGAATAAGATTTTAGTTGGAAAAGTCTTCGAAGAAAGGTACAGTGTTGTGTAGTGCTTTGGAATTGGGAGGAAGAAGGTACTTCTGTCCCCCAGAGAAGAATAACATAGGAAATATAAACAGCAGTTGTGGCTTCTGAGAATCATGTATTTAAAAAAAACCAAAAAACCCATAGCCTACTTTTTCTATAGGGCTAGGGACTTCCATTGACTAACTCAAATAGAGAGATGATGTTAGCCAGCGAGCACACTGTAGGTTAAAGGGCATGTCATAGCCATGTATGTTCAGGATGAAAAGAACTGTAGATATGAATGAAGGCAGACCTCCCTCTTTAGCAAGAATCCTGCTAACTTTTTTCTATTCCTCATCTGTGTCCTAATCTACCTTAAACAAAAGGTAGGATATCTAACTATGTGACATTCTTCTAAGTGCAATTGCTGTTATTCACTCTTCACTGCTGAAAATAGTACTCTGTATGGGATTGAGAGGAAACTTTGTTATCCCTTCTAATGGTCTTGACCTGTCTGGGCAAGAAAAACAGACTGCTCTATAGTTCTGGCCTCCTCCCCAGCCTCACCTTTTCAGGTGGATGAATTTATAGGAAAATGTGAGGACCCTCTTCATCTCTGGCCAAGTAGACCTGTTCAGCCATATAATAAAGTTGAACCATACCCGCCGCTCTTGGTTCCTTGAAGCCACCTCTTCAGTAGCTTTAGGTGGTGTGAATCAGTTGTGTTGATTTCATGTTGTTGGCTACAATTGTGGTAAGATAAAATTCTGGTCTATATCCTTAAAGCCCGCGGTTCCCCAAGGCGGCCATCCTCGTTTGTGACTGCCCACATGTGCTGAACTCCGACTTGGAAGTTGGAATTATCACCTTCTCCATGCAGCTTTTCTATATCAAATGAGACAATTGAGTTGTGCCTTATCCCAGCAATTTTAAGTGATTAAATGAAATGATTATTTCATTTGCCCTTTGGGTATCCAAAGAGTAACTTTTATAGTAGATAATATCCAAATAATTCTGATGCCCCTCTGTCTGCTAACACTTCTATGCATAGCGCAACAGCATTTACTCTGGGACTGGAGCTGTCAGGGTTCTCCTTCCATCATTCTTTCATATCCTGTCCTGTTAGCAACATTCGTCACTTCTGTGATGACAAGCTTAGGAAGTCTGCCAGTAGACCAGGTTTACTATGGGGAAGAGGTGCTATTTGGAAACAGTTACCACTGGGGGGAAAGTACATTTCAGATTCCAGAATAGATTTTAAATGAAAATCCTACTAGCAGATGACTCCTCTAAGAGCATTTGGATATTGTTCAGGCTCGAGACAGGCATTTTTCAGCATCTTCTGGGGTGGATCTAGAAGGGCTGGAGGCTTGATGGAGGCTGGGGCAGTGAGGGGAGATGAAAGCAGTGTCCTGTAGGACAGCGGTCCCCAAGTTAAAGATGGTGACCCATGCATAGCGGAAGTTTAAATTCCGGGTCCCCAAGGCAGATGGGCAGTCTTGTGCCCTGAAGATTCCCCTTTTTTTCTGGCCTTGGCCCATCTTAGCTCTAAAAGAAACTACTTAAACACTAGCATTACTTTATTTCACTTATGTTTTTCCCTTTTTTAGTTGCAGTTAAGTGAGTCTTTGGTCTCTCAGGATGGAGTTTCATGGTTGGTTCAGTTTTAAAGATTTTCACCACAGGTACCTTTCTTTTTGTTGAAATGCAGATAGAATTACCTTGGGCTGGGAAAAGTCTCTGGATGAGTTCCTTTCTTTACTTTTTCTTTTTTTTTTAAACACAGTTATTCCTTTCTTCTCCCTCCCTCACACACCTTCATATAAGAAATCACACATTTTTAAACTGCCCATTGGTTTCCCTTCACTCTACTGTCCTCCGGAGCCTAGAGCACCCTGTGCTGATGGACCCCAGGGTTTTAGTGCTGTCCACCCACTGTCAGCAGTCCTTGGGGAACCAGACCTACAGATCTTTTCCTTCCTATTTCAGCAAAACTAATGAAAAGTGAGAATTATAGTGGCACTTGGACACCTCAGAAGTGCTCCTCTGTCTGAGACCTGATTGCAGATTTATGCAGCCACCTTTCATTCCTAAAAGCCAGATGGGGGGAAACAAAACAGGTAACCGGAGTTCTCAGTTAATCAACAAAATTAATGTGTATCATCTGCTTCAACTGTTGTCCCATCCAGCCTCTTACCAGAGCTGCTAAGAAAGTATTAGAATTTTTTACAATTTTTTAAAAGATTTTATTTATTTATTTTTAGAGAGGGGAACGGAATGAAAAAAGGGAGAGAGACATTGATCGGTTGCCTCTGGCACCCTGGCTGGGAATAGAACCCGTGACCTTTTGGTTCACAGGCTGGCACTGAGTCTACTGAGCCACACCAACTAGGGCAGTGTTAACATTTTTTTAAATGGCTGGCACATTTTCTAAAGTTGTCACAAGAGAAAAGGAGGCATAGCATCTGCTGGGTTTTTGTCTGTCTGGCCCAGAGTGCAAAAATCATCCACAATCCCATTACATAGAATGTTAGTATTTTGAACTTTCAAAATATGGCCTTTTTAATTTTTAACTTAATTAGGGTCATGTCTGTACTATATTATATGTTATAACTCATTTTGAAAAAAATTTTATGGTTAATGTATTTTTTAATCATTTTTTATTTTTCAATTACAGTTGATATACAGTATTATATTAGTTTCACATATACTCCACAGTGATTAGACATTACTAACTTACTAAGTGATCATCCTGATAATAGTTCATATCCATCTCACACTATACACAGTTATTAGAATATTATTGACTATATTCCCTATACTGTACTTTACATCCCCATGACAATTTTTTAACAACCAATTTGTACTTCCTAATCCCTTTATACCTTTTTCACTGATCCCATCAACTGTCAAAATATTCTTAGTATTTGTGAGTTTGTTTCTGTTCTACTTTTTCATTTATTTTGATTTTTAGATTCAGTTGTTGATATGTTAATTGCCATTTTATTTTTCATGTTTTCTATCTTTTTTTTTCTCCTTCTTCTTAAAGAAAACCCTTTAACATTTCACATAATACTGGTTTGGTGGTGATGAACTCCTAGCTGGATACCCTAAAAGCTGCACGGCTACCAAGCTGTGTGATCTTGAGCAAGCAAATCACCCTCTCTGAACCTTAACTATAAAATTAGATAATGATAGTTCCGTGCTCATAAGATAGTAGTGAGCATTAAAGTAATGCCTATAAAGTGCTTATTAGCATAGTGTTGGGCACATAGACACATCGTAAACATGAAGTTGTTACTAGCTGCCAGCATAAGTTTCTTCTCCATCATCCCTCCAAATACTGAAGTTGTACAGAGCACACAGTACAGTCGCAGGCCCAGCTTTCCTGTCTTTAAGACAGATCCCAGTGCTTACCTTACGCAGTTAAAGGGCTTATGCTCAGAGGTGAACACTGTAATAATGGGAATAGATCAGAAGCCCTCTCCATAACCCTGAGGGAAGGAAACTGAAGGAACCTTGGTTGAAGGTGCCATTGTTTAATGGTTCCTGCATGTGGTTGTATCACACTCCTTGGGCAAGGCCTGCTGTTGCCTTTCAGCACATAGTTTGCAAGAGTTAGTATGGCCTTTGTTACTCCTAATGGCATAATCTCTCTTCACATCTCCCAACTGCATTGTATTTCAACTTCCATCATGAGTTCCCTTTTCCCTCATTATCACCTCCACCATCATCCATTATTACTGACTACATGGCCTCCTCTTCCAGCTCTTCTTTAAAAATAAGAGATGAAATGCCAGTCCTCATCTTGATAAACTGTAAAATGCATCTCTCATTGCCTCTTTTTCTATGTTCTTCGTTCTCTGGACACATTAGTATATGGACTTGTTCCCAAAAGAGTCAGTGAAGATGTAAATGTTAAATTAAATTTAGGAAATATGTCAGTGTAGTTTCTCCAAAAAGGT